CCTGCAAAGCCGAATACTGCGAATAAGAGCCGACCTTTCTTTACTCATAAATCTTCATTCTAGGGAAATGCAAGAACCTTTGCCAACAAATCAACGTCTCGTTATCCGGCAAAGGATTATATCTCAGTCGACAAGACATCGGTTGAGCTTTCAGATAAGGAGCCATCGCATATAGAGGTAAGCATTGCGGGCAGGCTTACTCATTTTTTCGAGACCTGGTCATATCTCACAAACGACTCTGTCGTTTTAAGCGCAGTTTCAGGCTATAAAATAATTTTTCTTATAACCCCTGCTCCTCGTCCGTATTTACGGGAACCTTGGTTGAGTTCATTGGAACAGATGCTGTGTGCAGAGGAATTAAAGCGCTTTATCTGCAAAGGCGCCATCGCCGAGATCACTTTTTACGGGGATCAATTTCTCTCTTCATATTTTCCCATTGATAAATCCTCGGGTCAAAAAAAAAGATTCACTTTGAATCTGAAAATCTTCAACAGATACATTCTTCCACCTCATTTTAAGATAGAGGATCTCGGGACTGCTACCCGTCTGCTGTCTCAAAACTGTTTTATGGCAACATTAAATTTAGAAGATTCTTATTTTCTAGCGCCAATTCATGCAGATTATCGCAAATATCTCCGTTTCTCTTTCCAGGGACGCCTTTTGAGTTCTAGGCGTTACCTTTGGCCTCTTTACAGCTCTGTACATCTTACAAAAATATTACGACCTATTGCAGCCCACCTACGCGAACGAGGTTTTTCTTGTCAATTATCTACCTTGATGACTTCTTGGTTTTCGGGGAATCGTTTAAATAATGCTTTGCCAATGTAGACGCTACTCTGAACTTACTTAATAGTCTCGGTTTTGTTATTAATCCCCAGAAATGTAGACTTCTCCCGGCGCAAGAACAAGGATGTCTTGAGTTTTTTGGTGAATTCATCTACTCTGAATATAACGTTACCTGAAGATAAACGTTTAGCTATTCTGGAACGCCGCTAGAAGTATTTCAAGAAACGTTCCTGCAAAATTCGGAATTTTACTAGTTTTGTAGGTACATTGCATTCTATAGGTCGTGCGGTTTCCTACGGCCTAATGTACCTTCGCGATTTCGAACGAGAGAAGTTTCTCGCCTATGTTGACTTCACCAATGACTACACCTTTCGCCTGTGTAGCGATTGCTACAAAAATGGAACTTCTCTGTGGAAAATTTTTCAGATGCCCCCCTTACAGATTGGGGTGCATCTGTCGGTACAAAAAAGAATTTACGGGTGGTGGTCATACTCGGAACGCAGAGAGCATATAAATCCTCTAGAATTAAGGGCTGTGGAGTATGCTCTCAGATCATTTGCGAGTCATTTACGCTCCCAACATATCTTGTTGCGCATTGACAATATAACCACTATAGCGTATATTAATAAGGGTGGCTCCTGTCATTTTCCCAAGCTCCCAACTCGCCAAGTCAATCTGGCAATGGTGCGGAGCATGTGACATATATATATTTGCTTCTTATACCATATCAGCTCTGCTGACAATGTCGTGGCGGACACAGAATCTCGCTCCATAGGTGCCGAATGGGAGCTTGCTTCCTCCTTTTTTTGCAAAGATTAAGAAACGATTCAGACTATTTGACATTGATTTATTTGCCACTCATAACAATGCAAAATATGATACCTTCATTTTGTGGTTTCCGGATCCCTTTGTTTTTGCAGTCTACGCTTTTATTTTGGATTGGGGGAATTCTAATTGTACGCTTTTTCGCACTTATTACTAAAAGCCTGCGGAAGATCATAGACGATCGGGCGGAGAGAATTCGTTCCCCGATGGCCAGCTCAATCTTAATTTCCCCTCTTCCACCAATTATATACATCGGATCCAATTCACATTCAATCTGGCACAACGTTTCCTTGGTAGGGAAATTATCCGGCAAGCGTTTTGACATAAAGGTTTCTCAGACGACGCCATAGAGATAGCCCTCGCATTGCTTGCGGCCTCGACGCTGTCACAATATACTAAGCCCATTCAATTGTGATGGAATTTCTGCATTCAGCATCAACTTGATTGGTTTCGCCCGGCAATAATACTAGTTCTCTTCTTCTTACCTTTGCAGCTTTGCAACGTTAGCGCTTACGGAACCCTTAATTCGTATCGTTCAGCGCTCTCGCTCATCACGGATATTAATCTTGGCTCAGAAGATAAAATATGGCGTTTTTTCAAGGGTGTTTCGGTTTTAAAACCTTCTAAACCCAAGTATGCACTGACATGGGATCCAACGCCTGTCTTTGCATACTTGGCCTCTCTCTGGCTCCATGAAGCCTTGTCTTTAGAACTCGCAAACTTGCCACCTTGCTAATTTTAGCTTCCGTACAGCGTGTACAGACTCTGGCATTAATTAAGCGAGAAACTACTGCTATTATTAAAGTACCTGATCGTATAAAAAAAGGAAAAAAAACCTTCGGTCCGAAGTGGCCTCAGCCGGTCATGTTTTTCCATCACTTTGATGATCAGTCTGCCTTGTCAATTTTTTCGTTAATGTGTTTATATATTAGTAAGACAGCGCATAATTCTTCAGAGTCCTTTTTTCGACCTTATTTTTCACCTTTAAGAAGCCTGTCTATACCGTATCCGCTCAGACTATTAAGGTGCGAATAACGCTGTTTGAAGGAGAAGTCGATACTTCAATCCTTACGACTCACTCTACTCACGCCGGCTCTTTGACTGCGTTTCGTAAAGGTAATTCTGTTGACGATATTTGGAAAGCGGCAGGCTGGTCGTCCACTTCGTCAACTTTCACGAATTTTTATAACTGTCCGTTATTACCCACAACTAATGTTGCTGAGGCGATTATCTTGAATCCTTAACTGCATATACTGCGAGCTTATTCCTTTTGCTTGGAAATTGCATTATGCTAGGTGTTGCACTAGTAATTTTTTTATTTTACTTATGCATATTTCACCTCGTTTGTTGCCTATCAGACGCATTGCGTCTTTCGTTCTTCGTAATGTCTTTCTGTTGCAAAAGAAAATACAGTATCTCATGGTCACAATCGTGACTTTGAACAGCTACATGTTTTTTTACTCGGACGAAACGCATAGCATAATTATGTGATCAAACAAACTCCTAAGTGAAGTTTGATCATAATTATGCGTATGCTTTCGTCCGAGTAGAGTCACCCTCCCTTTCTTTGGAACTTCGTTCGTCGTTCCCTTCTACTTTCGATTTGTGACGGCTTTGAACTATGAAAATGCGTGTATGCGCAGCGGACAGCACCACGCGTTCGGCACCGAGCGGGACGCCAAATTGTTTGTTTTCGCGGTTATCTTTAAAGATGCTTGTTCATTACGGAAGAGTCATGCGACATGACTACATGTTTTTTACTCGGACGAAAGCGTACGCATAATTATGATCGAACTTCACTCAGGAGTTCGTTTGATCATACGAAGGCAGTCTGAAAAGTTCTCGGCCTAACAATAAAAGAAGATTTTTTTTGCCGTGAAATATGTTTTATTTTTCAATATAATTTCCTGAAACTTCAATACATTTATTCCAACGTTTTTCCAATAATTTAATATCATCATTAAAGTGTGATTCCGGAAGGTTCTTTTTGTTCTGGTGTATAGTGGTGGATTCAAGTTTCATCAACTGTTATGAAATGACGCTTGAAATCCATTTTATTTTGCTTAAAACAATCCAAATATGCTTGAGAAATACGCATTCGAATGCGTTTTTGGTCAATTGTTAGCAAATGCGGCACTTATCTTGCACAAAGCTTTTTCAACTGGTGCTACTACTCGAATGATTTGACAGATCGAATAAAATTTTACATGGATTTATATCAGAGATGCCAATACAATTTCCAATACAATTATAGTTTGACAATACAATTATAGTTTGACAGTTTCTAATGCTATGTGTCAGGTCGAGAACTTTTTAGACTGCCTACGCACAATTATCTTATACGAAGTAGTGAGAGATGATATTTTATTATAGTTGAGCTACACATTACACGTTATTAATATGGCTATACTGTAATATTTTAATGATAATAACGTAGTTGTGTGTCACATACAATTGTCTAAGTATGATCTTTTACATAATTTTATAATAATAATAATTGCTAAGTAACAATACATAAAAATAATGTGATATTGTGGATAGATAACATAAATAATCTTTGATTTCTGCAAATTTCTGGAAACAAGAAAGTTGTAAGTTGAAAGATTTATTCTGCATCTTTCATTTATTAGTACTTAATATTACAACACGAGTATTTACATTAACATAATTATCCTATGGCGACAGTTATATATCGCGTACATTTAATATATTGTATTTAACATATGTTTTATGTATTGATTTATTGATGCGTTATATTAAATTGTTAGTTATACTAAATTAATACTTATTAATACATTAAAAATATTAATATATTAATATATTAATAAAAAATTAATATATTAAAAATATTAATGATAATTCTGACCGTATTTGCGTCAAAGAGAAAAGTCACACGATTGAAACTATACCTGACAGTTGAAATAAATTTCTCTTCTTTACTTCGATGATTTTTTCTTCAAAACTGCCTTTAGTGTTTATAATAATTACCATCGCGAAAGATAATAAATAATAGTATAAAATATTTTAATAGCGGTATGTCACATACAAATATAATTTTCACGATTATCCCATGTTTACTATATCATTTCTATATAGACAGAAATTTTATGCGATCTTTATTTATTATCAGTAATAAATACTTTGTAACGCTTAATATCATTCTCCTTTGACAAAGACAATAGAGACTTGGGCTACTTCAACTTGTTTTTTAATAAGTAGCATAATAAATGTTATGTAATTAAAATGAATGACAATTAAGAGTACACATCAAGAAAAACTGAACGTTTGCATGATATTCAATTAATAGTGATAATTTAATTAAACATTAATTAAGACAGCGAAACTTAATTAATTTGTCTTCGAGAAAAATTTTCTTGAATTTTATGAATTAAAGATAAATAATGCAGATAAACATTAATCAAACTTTTCTTTTTGATAAATCTTTTTAAGCGGGTTTTTTAACTAAATGATACTATTAATGGGCGATTGAAGTGGGCTTGAAACAATTCAAAACAGACACATCTTGTTCAGACAATTATTTCCCATCTTGCTTGATATCGATATTTTTAGTATCTTTCGGACAACAGCATTTTTTTGAACTATCATCATAAGTATAAAAGTCAACAGAAAGAGATCAAACGATATAAGGGCTGTAAAACAATCGTAGAAGGAATTCAATAAATAAATAAAATTGCTAGCGTTTGTTTTAATACACAAGATATATATGAAGTAAAGCTGATGTCATTGTAGTAGTAGGCTAAAGAAATGTATTATTGGTGTGGTACATATGGCTATGTTTACCGTACGATTATTTGGTGATAATGTATTTTCAAGCTGTTCTGTAAATGAAAAATTATTATTAGGATAAAAAATTACTTATTAAAACGGAATAACTATTTTTCAAAAAAATAAATCTTTTAAAATTATCTATTTTTCTAAAGATTATCTATTTATAAATATTATCTAAATATGCTAAAATTATCTGTATTTCGTAAAATTGTCTTTTAATTATCTTTTAATAAAATCATATACCGTTTTTATAACATTTATTGAATAACGCTCGAGCCTTTCTCACTGACTTCTTGTCGGCAATAATATCTTTAATAAATCTTGAAGTTGCATTTACATTGAACTGACCTTTCGTCAAAACCTGGAATAGATAATATTGATTGTTTTTTTGTATATCTCATTGCCCACGGCTTTGTATCTTATACATAGGTGAAACTTCGCAGGTATGGATTAGATCGAAAGTATACCACTTGTAATCGACACTGACAAATTACATTTGATGTTAATATATATATTTTTGAAATATAGTATAATTAAAATAATTACACAAAATATAATTATGCAAAGGGTAAATTAGCCATAAATTAATATCTGATAATTCTTCATTAAATTTGGAATGATAATTCTTCATTAAATTTGGAAACCATACGATATATATATAACAAAAGGAAACGTCTTGAATATGGTACACATATATAAATATATGCTCGTGTTCAGTTAAATTAGCAGATCTTACAATCACCAATCGTTACATAATAATTTTAATATACAATATTACTAGATTATTTTAGAATCTCTTGATTATATAGATCACATAAAAGAAAGTTTTAATGTCACGAAAACTGTGATTATTTTCAATGCCAATTATATTTTCTTATTATTCTAACAAAGAGTATATGTATATTTGGCCATCGTTACTAACACTGTAACTCTTAATACAGAAATGTTTCATATCAGGCTATATAATTCTTTCATTATGCGATTATAATTGCAAAAATATTAAACATTTTATTTTCAGTGTAGTAACAACTGCACTGTGTCTTAAGATTATTTTACTAATAAATGCATATTAAATATAAATATACATACCTGTCCATCGTTTAATATTATACATAGAAATAGATTTCTAAAGAGTGTTCCTGTAATGCAAAAATTACAGTAATAATGCAATTGAGAGACTGTTTTTTGCTCGAACGCTACAGCTAACTCGAGCCAATCAGTCGCAGAAATATTCTCGTTCTCTCAATTAGAAATGCCAAACTATAATGATCAAATGTATATACGTCAAATTGTTAACAAAATAAAACAAAATAACAACATGCTTGACAAAATAAAGACAACGCAAATTTAAAGCTATTTTTTATCCGACTTTCTAATTGTAAAATAATTATTTAGACGATTATAATAAATTCCATAGTTTGTAATCACATCAACCAAACTTTTATTTAAAATTATTATGCTCTGTAGATATCCCGGCTTTGATTTTTGATAACGACAAAATTCTGCTTCAAATAGGTACAAAAAAGAACTGGAATGCCTACAACTGTTTTTCATACAATTGTTTATCACGAGTTTTTGCAGGCGTCCTGCTGCGGGTTAAATTCTAATATCCGGTATCTTAACGTACATTGTGTTTATTCCTTTGTTTAAAATTTTATCATACCTGATTCTTTATAATTTATTTTATATATGTATCGGGATTTAATACTTACTTCTGTCAAGTCTTTGTTGGCAAATATGTATATACTCCATAATTCTCCGTGAACGTTCAACATTGTAACTGCAAGTCATCGTCTAAAAGGATAAATTGCACATAAACATATCAGAATTGTTTCACCTCAGTTTGACAATCGTGAAATTGCGATATCAGAAGTTTATAAATTTTACGGTTTCTTTTACAAGAAATGGCTAACTTAGCGATAGATTATTATATTCTCTTACTACTTATTATAATAAAGTCTTCTACAAAAAAAATTTTCTACAGAAAAAAATTAGTATTTAAATATTTAAGAAAGGATATCATCACATTGTTATTTAAGTGAGATTTCAGTTTTTACTCTTTTGCAAATTCAGATACGAATATGAATCTTTTTATTGTCAATTAAATTTACAAATCGAATATATATAATGTTTTTGAAGAAGATTAGATGTTAAGTAATAATCTTTGAAATCTACAAAAGCTATTTGATAAGTACCTATATTGATTCATTATCGGACGATTCGAATTAACAATAAAGTATTATATTAATATCATAATATTAATGTAACCTATCGTAATATAAAGGAGTTATCGCTTCTTTTCAGAAGGAATATTAATTACATAAGTATTGTTACATATTTAAATTAACATAAAAGAAAAATCCAAACATTATGTAATACAATGTAAAATTTAAAGACTTATTGAAGTAAAATAATAATTATAATTATTAACAATATTGTTGAAATACATTTTATAAATTTACCAAAAAAAAAACTTTATCCGTTGCTTGTTTTATAATTACTAACCGTAAAGAAGAGTATACCGACAATAATCAAAATCTTCATTCTTAATTTTTTGAATATATTTAAGTAAGTAATAAATTAAAGCACACGTATTTTGAACATGGAATAGTCTTCGTCGAATGAAAGCCGCGTATTTATAGCTGACACATTTTACATACACGCAGGCGCATTATGTAATGTTTGTTATTCTTTCTTTTGATATGCTTTACATTATATATTGATTTATAATAATATATAAGAGTATATAATAAAAGAGTATATAAGAGTATATAATAGTATATAAAAGTATAAAGTAATGCTGATTTCGCAGAAACTAAGGTAAAATAATGAAAAGGAAAATGGATAATGAAAAGGAAAGATTTATATGTTGATCATTTAAGAAAAAATCTGTAGTATCTATTTTCTACTTAAATATAGCATATATAATACGAGTAATATGTAAATTAATATCTATTAAAACTGCCATATTCAAATGGTAATTATAATTAGATAATTATCTTAAAAGATTGAGAACAGAAATATATTGATAATTTGGTAATTTAGTAATTTGACTATTTAAGTTGGGATTTATTTTTCACGTTGTAATGACAAATAACAGCTTGAAAAATAAATAATTTAAGCCATTGTGCGACTTTATCAACTCAGATTTGATACTTGATAATCAAGTCGGTGAAATAAATTTTATCAGTTTATATTAACATTTCTTCAATACAAATATGCTTTATTAAATTATTATCGTGAACATACAATTTAATAGGAAGAGATGAAGTAATGTAAAAGAAAAGTTACACACAGAATTTAGAAAACGAAAAAAAATAGAAAAAGAATGGTCCATAATACTCTATGAAACAAAATCTGCTCTATGAAAGAAAAAGAAAATTTGTTTTTAATTCTCGTTGAAGGTAACTATCACTGGCAAGTTTAGCGTACAGTTGTAATCTTCCTCCTTCTTGTACGTTATTATGGGAAGTTTGCCTATAAACATCGTAATTAAAAGAGAATTTGTTTATTGTATAAATTTTTGTTAAGATAAAATAATTATTTTCCAAGATTATATTTCTTCAGATATTTTGAAATGAAATATCTATCAACAAGATCGAATACCTTCATCATAACATTTTTCGAATATTTCTTGTGCTCTTTTCAACTTGTTTTCCTTCCTAATAACATCTTTAAGCAATGATAAGAATCCATCCTTTCTAATTATGCCATCTTCATCGAAAATCTGAAATAGATAAGACCGATTGTTTTTTTTATATGCCTCATATCATATAAAATTTGTAATGTATTATTGTAAAACATTAACTTTTTTTATATATTTTTTTTCATATCTTTTATTAATGACATATTAGTACGTTGTGTTTTAACGTCAATATATTATTTTATGTGTGTTATCCATAAAATTATTGATTCCTTTTATATTGTAGAATATAAATTTATATTTATAAATCAGTAAATTTTTTAACAATATTGTGTCGCGACGCTACTTTAATTGTACGTGCGTAATTTGTGAGACATGATTGAACATTTCAAGGATGTATGTTTATATCTATATTCATATCATATTTCTTTTCGTTTATTCATAAAGATTACATCAAAATAGTTTCTTATAAATTCAAAACATCCAGTAATTACTAATTAGTAGGATAATCTTGATATATTACTTAACTAGATTATTAGAGTTTTCCGTACGCGCACATAGTTAATTTATTATTTATTATTATATTATTTATTGATAATTTAAGAAAGTATGATTGATAACTCAACGAACATAATAATGTATTGATGAAGTTGTTGCCGTCGTTAACATTATTAATATGACATTATGTTCTATAAGTATGTTAGATCAATACTTTGGCTCTGTGATAGTCTTTTGTCCGAAGAAATGAATATATACGGTTGTAAATTAATACTTTAATAACACTGCGTATAAAGGCTAATCTGCCGGTGTATGTAAATTATAATGTATGTTGAATATAAATATACATACTCGTTCATCCATAAACATTGCGCATTTGAATGCTTCGGTATGGAATTGATCTGCAACCCAGAAATTACAGATATAATAACACAATTGAGGAATTTTCTGTTTAAATGTTATAATTAACACAAGTTAGTCAGCAGCAGCAACATTCTTGTTATCATTGTTTAGAAACGTGAAATTTGAGTAGTTATGAAACAAACACAAAAAATTGTTAACGATATAGAGCAACAAGTATATGCTGAATAAAATAAAGGTACATTGTGAATCTGAAACGATTTCCTTTTCAACTGTTAAATTATGAAATTATTACTGTAATTTTACTATACTGTTATTTTGTTTCATAAACAATCTATACAGCACAGAAGTTGCAATAATATTGCTGCAACGTTGAAACAATGTTGCAATATTGCAGAAACGTTGCAGCAACATTTTTTTAACTTTGTATGCTATATTGTGCTTGCTATATGGAAAACTTGAATATTTTTTTAAGAATATTTGTCCCCAGTATTGAATAATTGTCTTGTGAAAAGAGAAAATGTAATTTATTTTAAAATAATTCTTTTATCATATTAAATCTCTTTCTATTTCTCTCTCTTTCTCTCTCTCTCTCTCTCTCTCTCTCGATTTATCAATAAATTATCTAGTAATTGACAAATTAAACAGTTTATAATAACGTGAATCAAACTTCGTTATGTAAACTTCTTACACTTTCTTAATAGCTTAGTATCGAAGACAAAGTTCTGCTTTCAATATGTGTTACAAAAGAACAAAGGTCGGACTTTTATTACTTTTCATGTAATTATTTTATGTAAGTGTTTATCGTGACATTTTTTCACTGGCATATTGCTGTGGATTCAGTTCTAATATTTTATTCTGTCGTAATAAAATCTCCGATATCATAATTTACATTGTCCTTATTTATCTGCTTGAATTTTTGTAATTCATAATTTTATAATTTTTTAGGATATATTGTTGTAGGTAAATTTTAATACTCACTCGTTGACAAGCCGAATGATTTGCAACAATTCGCATAATTCTCCTTATAATTTCTTGCAATTTCGAAATCGAAGCCACAAACTGCCGCCTGAAAGGTTTGATCACATCAAACATATAAAATTGTTTAAAATAATTTATAATAATTGTTTATAATAATTGCTTATAATTGTTTCATTTTGTCTTAACATTTTACCTACTGATATCACCAATGTATTATTAATAGGCTTTTAGAAGGTAAAATGTTAACGATTGTATGCAATTACGATATTAGCATTTATAATTTAAATAGATTTTTTGTTCACAAGAAGTAACAAATTTTATTACTATAGTCTATTATCTATAGTATTGTAGCTTTTCACAAAGGAATTTAAATAAATATGATTTAATGAAAGGAGAACAATATTACTATCTCGTTACTTATTAAACACATTTAATTTTGTTGTCTCGCGTGTGCTAAATGTGAACTTAATTTTTTTAAGATAAATTAAATTTATGACTCGGACATACACAATGTTATCGAAGGGAATTAGATGTTAAAAAAAAAGGATTTTGAAATGGATGTAAATTATTTAATATTGAAAAATATTTTGAGTTAAGTGTTATAATAATGTGAAAACTGTCGCTTCGCTTTTTCTATATTGCTATAAGAAGTATTTTATTTAACGTGCAAACTAAACACAAGAAATATGTAATAAGATATAAGCCAATTACTCATTAAGGAAAATAATAATTACATTAACAATATAGGGTCGGAAGATATGCCGCGTATATATCGTGAGTTTACAAAAACTTTACGTGTCACTTACTATAACGATCAGTACACCTATAGTGATCACTAAAATTTTCATCCTGGATTCTCTCAATACTTCCAAGGAGGAAATAAATTTGATGCAAACAGATTTAGTCGTAGATCTATATTTCCTGCTAAAAGTAAGCCGCGTATTTATAAGCAATTCTTATTTATAAGCAGAAGTATTATCATATATAGTCCGCTTTTTTGATAACCTTTCAGCATAATTCATCTGATTTGTTTTGCTATAAGATAACATCAAAATTAAATGAAAAGGCCCTCTATCATTTTGCAGTCATGATAATTATTCAGTTATTAAATAGAGAAAACATGCTAACTCAAATTTATAAAAAATTTGCTTCATGAGGCAGATGCTTTCGTAATACCGGCCGGTAATTATTTTATTGAGTCGTTATCATAAACATAGAATGTAACAGAAATATCAAACAATGTTTAGTATATTGCTAATTTCAGAGAAAAAGAAGAGAGCGTTTTTATGATGTATTTGAAGCGTGGAATGTACGGCTTGCTTGTAATTTAGTGTATTGAAGAGTTTAGTTTCACAACCAGCTAATCGATGATGTTCGATGAAGTCTGAAATTAAAAATAAATTTATAGAGATAATAGTGAAAATAAATTTTTGACATGAAGACGCTCGAATGTCTTTATTGTAATAATTTATCCCCCCCAGAGATATTATACTCAAATATCTCGTCAAAGCTTCCTTCTTTATGTACTCGTTATATTCGTATAAAATATTAAATCAATTATTTAATACTTATTGCATTATGTAAAAAGACTTTTTGAAAATGGTTTTCTTTTGATAATAATCTTTAATTTTCTAAAACCATTTTAATATAAAGTTGAGAAACGTCATCCTTAAATCTTTTATTAATAATAAATACATCAATATGTAACGTTTCAAAATCAACGATTTTATCATATCATCTATTATACTTATATACATATATATATAGTATATGTATACAGGGTGTTTGATAGCTGATCATGCAGACGAAAGATTGGAGATAGATTGGGTGTAGCCGAGAAGAAAAGTCATGTACCATAATGTCAAATTGGCAATAGTTACCGAGTTATTAATTAAAACATGTGAGCCAACGAGCGCGTAGAGAGCGGAGGGCGGCCGCAGTAAGCCCGTAGACATTTGATACAGGCGGAGTCAGTGAGTGGCGGCAGGCAAGCGCGCGCGGCGAGGGGCAACGTAAGCGACAAAAGGCGAACGCGCGCGACGAGGAGCGAGCGAGCGCAAGCGACAAAAGGCGAGTGAGCGCGACGAAGAGTGAGCGAGCGCGAACGACGAGGAGTGAGCGAGCTATAAGGAAAAACCTATAAAGAAAAAGCTCGCTCGCTCCTCGTCGCGCGCGATCGCCTCCAGCGAGGTTTTCGAGGTACCTCCTGACAGGTAGAACATTGGCGGAAAAAAGTGCACGATCAACTATGCGAAAATTCGAATGAATTCCTTGCAGCATTCCAAGAACTTTTTGTCTTCTGCAATTTCCCCCAAACCCCACCATTCTCGAGTAAAAAATTCAGAAAGTTTGAAAATTTCTATTTTGGAGGCTAAATAAGTGAAATTAGTTTGCGTTATAAAAAAATGCTTCAGACAAAAATTTCATTTTTTTTTACGTAGAATCGATTGCCGATGTGAAAAATAGGGGTTCCCATTTAAGAAAAAAAAGTTGATCTTGAATGACCTTGAACCCTTCACCCGAGGTAAAAATTGTTGATGGCATCGAATGTCCCCCTTAGGACTGAGCAACATTTGTCTGACATTTTTTTCTGGAAAATATCATCCCCGAATTTTATTCAGTCGGTCGGATTAAAATGGGACACCCTGTATATATATTAGGTTAGGGAAAAAGAAATCCATTATTTTTCCGCTAGATGGCTTTAGTGCTTTATATTACGTGATGTATTAATCGCATAGGTTAATATTTATACTCATTGGAAAAGTGACATTCCGTACTAAAAAAAATTCTTTAACGGTTTTGTGATTTGTCGATTAAGTTATGAGTTATAGCACGTAAAAGATGTACGTCAACAAAGAGAAAATTCAGTATATTTTACAATTTTGCTTCGATAAAGGCTTCGATAAAGGCGAAAATGCAAGCCAGGCGGCTGAAATTGTGAATGGTGTTTATGGTCCCGATACTGTCATAGCCAATCACGCGCAATTTTGGTTTCGTCGATTCCGTTCCGGTAATTTTGATGGAGGTCGTTTCTGGAATTGGATCCTCACTTATGTGTAAATGGAAAACTAGTTGATTAAATGTTAAAATTGAAGGCCTCTAACCTCTTGACATTATGCGTTGATAAAAATCAGAGACAGATCTTCTTATTATATCTTGGTCCATCGAGATACACTCTCGGATAATACAATTTCGGAGTTCATATAAATTATTTGGCTTTATTTCATAGATTCTACTCTTCAGATAACCCCACAGGAAATAGGTGAGGTCAAGAGGTGATAGATCTGGGGATTGAGGAGGCTATTCGATTTCATTTTTCCTTCCAATCTATCGACGATGAAACTGATTATTAACAAAGCCACGAACAATTATGACCTAATGAGGTCCTGCTTCATCTTGTTGAAACCAAGTTTGTTCAAAATTATCACCTGCAATCTCTTTTATTCTTAGTATTTGATTCCTTAACATATTCAGATATTTTGCGGCGTTCAAATCACTATCAATAAAAAAAGGACTCACTATTGAGTTATTCAAAACACCTGCCCAGACATTCACTTTCTGTGGATATTGAGATTCTTGCATCCAGTGTGAATTAGTGTCACTCCAATATCTGCAGTTGTGTGTATTCACTTCGCCCTTTACAAAGTACATTCGTTAGAAAATACTATAAGAATTATTATAAGAAAATATTATAAGAAAAATCCTGGTCCCTGTCGTTCAAATCTATCATTAATTCATAAAATTCGATTCGACGAATGGGGTCGTCTTCATTGAGTTCCCGAAATAAATGATCTTCATACGGATGGAATTTGATTAACTTCAAGATTCTATGAACGAATCCTCGAGTATTTCCATGCTGTTCAGCTTGCGAATAAAAAGGTGAGGGTTTTCTACAAATGCTTGTGCAACCTCCATCTGTCTATCCTCATTTGTAGCTGATTTAGGCCGTCCAGATCTCTGACGATCTTTTACTCCACCAGTAGTTTCATATCGCTGCACAGTTCGAATGACTGTAGATCTGGAAATTAACGGCTGACCATTATTTCGGAACGTTTGATTAAATATTGTTTGAGTTTGCGAGTAAGAACGTTGAAGGTCACCCCAACCTCGCATCATTAATAGGGATAATCGTTCCTGCTAATCGTACATACGCCATAGTTTAGAGATAGAAATTGACTGAACATAAAAAGACACTTGGAAGATTTCCAAAAAAGACTGTTTAATTCGAGAGAAACTTTTTATAATGGAATGTTCTGTAGAGAAATACGTAGTTGCATCAGAATAACGTCAGGTGAGTATAGTCAATTTCATTCATAATATTCTACTAATGACAACATGAATGAGCCTTTATTTTCTAACATTAATCCATATTACAATTTTGATTCTGACACGAAATTTATACTACTTTGGATTTATCCTAGTCACACTCAACGAAACAGCGAGAAACTCCCTTTTGATTTATTAAACTTGGACTAGGTAACACTAGGACCAGAAGTCCATAGGAGAAGTGGTAGAATCGGCTGCTCAGTTGATCACATGATTTAAAAGCTTGAACATTTTTTGCAGGGCTATCTGAACTGTATCTGTAAGTCTATAAAACAAGTCCGAATAATTTTGATGAATTTAGAAATTACATTAAAAATGATTTTTTTCGGCGATGTTCTAATTTCGGAAGCTACTTAGATCTTGGATCATTACGATCTTGCCTTCAGTGGCTGAATCACATGGGATCTGAAAATCCAGCCTACTACGCAGGCAATGGTTACCTAATATTTTATTCAATCAAGTGAACATTGGTAGCGTATTCCGTTACTGCACGGTGCTTTCAAGGTCAAATAATTATTTGTCCTTTGAATGACCCTCAATGTTTGCCTTGACTCCTACAATAACCTGAATGTTTAACAACCTGAACGCGCTCTTCAGAATCCGAGGTCAAAAGTAGGGGTTCCTATTTAAAAAACACGAGTTGACCTTTAAATGAAAATTACCATGGAAAGGTCAAGGTCAAAGTCAAGGTCACCAGCTTATAACCTTCTTTGATTCCAATAAGTTTTATTCGGGTCATATTTCATAAAAACTACAATTTATCAGCTATTTCGTACCAATAACATATTTCAATGATACACTTCAAATGACCTTTACAGTTCATTTCGACCCGATATGGGGTCATATAAAAAGTCTAATCGAGCACTAGCGTAATGGTATAGAAAACGAGATATGTGAAGCTATTGTTGCGGCTTTCGATACTATTACGCCGGACATGGCGCTAGCGCACCATGCGACGCGCAATATTGTACGAAGGGCCGAACTCGGTATACGAGAGAGAGGACAGCACTTCGAACAATTCTTACATTAGATTGTAAGAGTGGATTAGGCCTACCGGGGAACCACTATAAAAAAATGCAGTTGAATTTAGTTGTTATTTCTTGCAAAATGAGGATAGAAAAATTCTTTAAAAGAATGATGAAAAAATTAAGCCACCTAATGATGTTATGAATTGAAATTTAATGTTTAATCAAGCCGGTTAATGAATTATCAACTTTACTCACAAATGAAATAAATTTTACTCATAAATTAATTTGTATTGCTTAATGATTACTAAACTAATTATTGCCAACTTGAATAATGCAGTATGTTTCTATTTGCATCTAATTAATGAGTAATGCTATAATAAGTGAGCAAAGATTGAAAAATATTTCATATTGAAGAAAATTAAAACGACATATTATAACATTATAAATAAAATAAGAATTATGCCCCTATGTCTCGTCCGGATGGAGAAACTACGTAGTCGTGCCCTTGCACGGGCCTTGGCAACAGAATTCAAAAAACCCGCCATTCAGAAGTAAACGTCGTTCTGTGCGGTGGCGCCCGTAGCCGTGGCGCCCGTATTTCCGTGCGCTGCGCGCGCCCTCGTTCTTTATTGTGTTCTGTTCGTTAGCCTTGGTAACATGTTGGTTAATTTTATCAGTTTCTTTCAGTTAATTTGTGCCAATTCTCTTTTTCAGCCATGCCTAGGCATAAAAAATCTAAAGAATTCCTCCTCGAGACACTCGAGAAAGCAAAGGCGCGCGCATACGCATAGTTCAAGATTACTCGGGGGACAGGCGATCGCGGGACCGTTCACGCAGTTGATCATGGAATGCACGTCCATCTTGTATTTCTCGGACGCCGAGGATCTGTGTTCTTGACGTTCCCTCGTGGAAATTCTCGATCGAATGCGTGAGTTTATCACCTCCAGAGAAGTTGAGTATAACCTCCATTCTAAGGAGTACTTTGGAAGTTATGTCATTCTCAGAACTGTCCGCAGGAGCCCCTCAAATATTCATCAGGGAGGTTCTGGTACTACTTCCTTACTTACGCCACAGGTTCTAAACCAGATTGTAGAAGAGCAGCCGGTCGCACAAGCGACCGGGCAGTTGTCCCACCAGGTATGTCCTCTTGTCGACCCAGCAATATATGATAAATCCTGGCAAAGAGAGGACATAACCGATTGTCTCTTCTATCTGGCTACTCCGGTTTTTTCGAAAGTCGATAAGATCGAGCCTCTGGCTCCTGGCACTGTGGTTTACGCTGACACTCTTGTCAAAGAGATCACTCGGAGGACAGGCGATCGCGGAACCGTTCACGCAGTAGATCGTGCACGTCCATCTTATATTCTCGGACGCCAGAGGATCTGTGTTCTGGATGTTCCCTCGTGGAAATTCTCGATCGAATGCGTGAGTTTATCACCTCCAGAAAAATCGGGCATAACCTCCATTCTAAGGAGTGCTCAGGAGGTTATGTAATCTTCAGAACCGTCCGCAGGAGCCCCTCAAGTATTTCTTCACTTCTTTATATTACGTTCGAATAGCTTTCGAAACAAAATTCAAGAGGTGTGCGAAACTCTCGACGATTTTCTCGATATACTTATCCATTTATAAACGACGTATATTTAAATAAATTTTGAAAGCTGAGCGACGAGAAATAATTATGCAGCAGTAATTGCAATTTTAACACATTATTTTTAGTTTGGAGATCAATTGCAAGATTGCACCATGACAGAGTGTGAAAAATATCTTTAATAAAATTTGTATATAATCTGAAGCTATATACATCCAATGATTTTATTTATATCTCTTCCAAGGCGATACGAAAATCTAATCGTCAACGTAACCTTTAGTCGTTGACGTATAACATTTAATATCGATTAACCTTTGCAACCTATTCACAGTTTGCGCTATTTTCCCGATTTCTGAGAAAGCAATTCCTCTTACTTTATTTTGCATCTAGTCTCTTTATAATTAAAAAGGAATTAGTACCGTTTACGCACGAAGCACTTTCGTGCGGCTATTGTAAAATAAATTAGTTGATCACACTTATCTTGCTGTCGAGGTCGAGACATGACATTGTAGATAAATTTATCGACTCTCTTAAACATATATTCGACCTGATGCGAAGCTTCAATTACTACCGCGGACAGCTTACAAGGGACATTCGGCAACGCGGAAATTCAAAAAAATCTGAAACTCTGCATAATTGTAGAGCAGATATACCTAATAACAAAACAATTTTTCGTTGGTGCCCAAAAACGGTTTTAAGGGTGGAAACAACCCCTTGAACAAAGTTGATTTTTGTCTTTCTAAGCGAATATTATCGAAACTATTAAAGATATGAAAAAATGTTTTAGACAAAAGTTTTATGGTTTTAAAAGTACTTTATTATGCTATATTTAGATTTTTTAAAAATGTAAAATTGTGTATAAAATACCCCCCTCCTTCTCTTTTTTCAAATTGTTAAAATCAATTGTCCAACCAAAATAAAGCTTATTTTATGACAAATTCAACCATATATAATAACATTATGTTTGGAAAAGGCAATATTGAAAAAAAAATTAAACATGCTCTTATATGTATGCTACGCGTACCAAACTTAAGGATTCGCTACTTGACGATGGCATTTCTTTCTTCCTCAAATCTTCCTCATAATTGCAAACTGTAAAAGATAAGGAAGGAAGAAAATAGAAAATCTAAAAAAGCAATAAAGTTGATGTTAAGAAGTAAGTTGAAGAAGAACAGCATGATAAGGAGGACGCAGAGAGAGTGTATATAACCCTAATATAGATAATCTTTTAAATTCAATTGTAAAGAACAAATAAGGAAATGAATGATATGAAGAAAAAAGGAGAACACACACGGATTTAATAATGAAAAATATAATTTATAAATTTATTCAGTGTACATTTGTGTGTATGTGTTTTGCTTCATTCAGTATATAGGTTTTATTAATTAAGTAGTCGATATAGATATTCGAGTGAAAGATATCTTATATTTTGGTATGGATTATAATATATACAAATTTTACAAGAATTGAGGACAGTAAAATATTATTTATTCTATATAATTATTACAATAATGATATTGCTCAAAGAAATGTTCAAAACAAAAATATTGCTTGCACCATGCACAACGTATAAAAGCCATTTTACCACAAATGCTACATTTTGGTATACGTTTTTCTTCTTTAAAATAACAATAATCGATTGGATTATGAAATTTTTCAGGCCGTGTTGATAAATAACCACTTTTATACCAGCTATATCTAAATAAATTTCGAAATCTTGGAGAAGACAGTTGATTATGTGTTAAAGATTGCAATTTTATTATGTTATTACGTAAATGTAAATTTATGTCGTAATTATTTATAATAACACTATCAGAAAAGCTTCGAACAAAATTTTTCCAGATTCTGAAACCAAAAACATCTAATGGCTGTATAAAAGCAGTTGTTTTTTTTGGTATTGTTAGAATATTTACATGTTTGTCTTTTGGTACAAGTTCTTCCAATTGGTTCGGGCAATGTCCTGTCCATGAATCAAGCAGTAGTATACTTTTCTCTCCAGTGTTTGGTAGATACACTTCTTGGAACCAATTTTTGAAATGTTCAGTTGTCAATTTCCCTGATTTTGAAGCCGCAATGTAAATATTCACTGGTCTAAAAAGAGTTTGTTCTACTTGTGGTCCAAAAACACCAGTAGATTCTTTTAATACTATATACAAAGGCGAAAGGAGATGTCCATCTGCAGATATAATAGGCATAATGGTGTAGCTATGAGTCATAGCAGATAAAGATTGGATAGTAGCTCCAACTGTCTTCACTCCTACATTAGCTAATGTTCTTCCTGCATGTATTTCTAAATTAAAGCCACTTTCGTCCGCATTATAAGTTGATTCAGCACCGATTACATTAATATGTGGCTTTACTGTATTTACAAATTCCTCAGCGTTTTGACGTATAGTTAGATCAGTTAAATGAGAAGACCGCGTTTTAAATGCAGTTATTTTACGTGATGTAATACGATGTGCCTTTTTAAAATTCCATATCCACCAATTTCCTGCTTTAAATGAAGAAATATCCACTTGTTCCTTTGCTTCTAGTGCCCATTTTCGCAGATTTATATCATGAATAATAAGTCCTCTATTAACAGCTTCTTGGAATTTTATAAGAACATATTCAGCAATAACTACAAGTTTGTCTGTATTTGAACCCCCACGCATTACATGTTCTTGCCATCTGTGCAATTGTTGAATAGATTTTACCTAGAAGAAAACAAATCTCAATATTAAACAATTCGAATTCAAAAATAAAAGAAGTTATATACGAATTAAATGTTCACGAAACATCAAATTGTAAAACTTAAAATAAAAAACAACGCGACTCTAACTATATAATTTACAGCTTTGGTCATAAGTATAAAGCATCTCTAACTCATTGTATTTTCCTAGAAATCAATGCATATACTCATAGTAAATATATAATCTCTTTACAATAAATATTATATTAATATTTTATAATATAATGTGTATATTATATTTATGTATATTATATTTATATTATATTTATGTATATTATATTTATATTATAATTTATATTATATTAATATTATATTATATTACAATAAATATTGTAAAATAAATATTATTTTCCACATATTCTTATATTATATTTTTTTATTATATTATTTTTCGATATACTCGTATACTATATTATGTTCTCCATATATTCATATAGTATGTTTTTGTTACACAATTTAAATAAATTTTTTGGGATGCTTTATACTTATAGTCAAAGCTGTATGTACAATGACCGACAATGATGCGTTCCGCGAGAGGGGAAATAGAGTTCTCTCTGTCGCGGAACGAATCACTGCCGGTCACTGTACACCGTAAAAGCCTCAAGTATTTTACTATATATTATTCTTCTTATTTTTTAATTAAACTTTACTTTTCTAAAACGATGTTGTACAGAAGTAAGAGATAAATGTCCTTTCTTTCCACTCTTCCAAAATTCGATTGCCTTTTTCTTATAATTTAAGTTTACATTTCCACCTTCATCATCCACAGTGCAAACTTCATTTCCATAATTATCTTCTTCAGCATCAATATCGTACACATCTACAAATTGTACGTCATGCGGTTCTGATGGATCGTCAAAATCAAGTCCCCACTCATGTTCGATCGTAATATCGTGATGTATAGCATTCTTTATTAAATCAGTAATTGTATCATGGAGTTCCACCTCTTGATGATTAACAGGAGTTATTGCAATATTTGTGAAATGAAATGTCGCAATTAACAAATTAATAACATTAGCTGGATTTATTACTGACATTATGATACAAATCTTAAGGATATTTTAATTAAACATTTCTCACAGCAATAATAATATACGTACTGCTTCAATAACTGCTTCAATAACACTGAAATGTATTCCAAAATGGACAGCTTTTATATGCAAATGAATGAAGATAACATATGTCAATATAATGAACCTTGATTGCACTGTACTTGATAAAGAGTGCTATTTTGGTCGGACAGTCATAAAACTTGTGACAAGTGTTTTGCATGTTGCCATGATGTACACACACGTGCGCACGTACAAAAACACACATACACACACACACATATTTATTTATATTTACGCGTGTCGTTTAAATTAATGAAAAAGGTAGCCGCAATGTTGGCAAAATAAACGTCTATTACGTGAAATTTTATAATTGATAACATTTTTAAATATTAGTGACTGTATCCTTATCATGCTATTTTTCTCCTACTTACTTCTTAACATCAACTTTATTGCTTTTTTAGATTTTCTATTTTCTTCCTTCCTTATCTTTTACAGTTTGCAATTATGAGGAAGATTTGACGAAGAAAGAAATGCCATCGTCAAGTAGCGAATCCTTAAGTTTGGTACGCGTAGCATACATATAAGAGCATGTTTAATTTTTTTTTCAATATTGCCTTTTCCAAACATAATGTTATTATATATGGTTGAATTTGTCATAAAATAAGCTTTATTTTGGTTGGACAATTGATTTTAACAATTTGAAAAAAAGAGAAGGAGGGGGGTATTTTATACACAATTTTACATTTTTAAAAAATCTAAATATAGCATAATAAAGTACTTTTAAAACCATAAAACTTTTGTCTAAAACATTTTTTCATATCTTTAATAGTTTCGATAATATTCGCTTAGAAAGACAAAAATCAACTTTGTTCAAGGGGTTGTTTCCACCCTTAAAACCGTTTTTGGGCACCAACGAAAAATTGTTTTGTTATTAGGTATATCTGCTCTACAATTATGCAGAGTTTCAGATTTTTTTGAATTTCCGCGTTGCCGAATGTCCCTTGTTAGTGTAAATTATAAGAAACGAAACTAACATACTCTTGATTATATCAAAGACTTAAGAAATGCTATCATTGAAAGTGATCAGAATCTTTATAAATGTGCTCTCTTAATAATCAAAATAGCGTGCATTGATTCATTTGTTCTCGAATCGTTCTTCGAAGGTCTCTCAGCCGAATATCCTACGGAAAATCGGACCGGAGAATATGGGAGTTTAAGCGATGTGTATAATAAGGCTATTCTAGTTGATAAACGATTGAAACGTGACCGCGCGCGAGCGCGAAATTCGCAAAATCAATCGTCAAATTCTTCCGCTCCTTCGTCTTCTCGTTCCCAAGAGTCCGACCGGTATACGAATCTGCCCGTCACACTTCTAACACGCGTTTCTGCCCCTCAAATGTCCTCGTCTCCTAGCGTATCGCAACGAAATTCTGATCCTTTCCTTCATCTCTTGTCGAATAGACATCGACCGGCATATTTACCATTGCGGATTGCACTTACACTTGCATATATCCTTAGTTTATAATAGTCGTCGTAAGTATTTAATAAATTTAGACCATGAAT